TACGCGGAGAAATTGATTTTTTAATGTGATTTAATGTCACGGTGTCGTTTAACTCAACGCACAATTCTTTTAGGAATATGTAAAACTGTATAGAGTCACTTTCAATGGAGTTTCCAATTGCACGTCTTAGCGGAACGTTACAGTTTTCAAATAAAGATAAATTGGTGGCTAGTGCTGTGCCTGCGCGGGCGTGACGAATTATCGACTTTTTTCGCCGCCATCTTAGTTAAAAGGCGCGTCTTGCGTTGTACGGGAGATGTATTTGTTGCTTTCGTTTTCACGAAACTGAAAGTGGGTGTATGTTGGGGTGTCATTGACTCTGATGTTTATTTGCCACGGCTGGACGGCCACGTACTCCGCTCTACATCATCATATCGTGCGGATCGCTGATGCTGTAATTTGGCGTTGGACCATTTATTTTGTTTCCAGCGTGCGATGGTGTGAGATATGTTTCGCTTCGACGCCTTAGAGTATTGAAGAATCTTTACGCGTATTGTGCGTGTTTACAATGAAACTACATACATCCAATCCAGTTTTATTGAGTTGCATTTATCCAATTCTGCAACAGATTATTAAAAACTAACTTTCTTAGAATGTAATAAATTGATTGATTGCAAATGGGCGATACTTGCTCATTTTTCATTCAATATTCATCGCGTCATTGTACTTAATGCAATTGCATTGATGTCACTTTTTAAATTGAATTAGCTATTTCAATAGAAATAGAACGAAGGCCGATTGGCATATAATTTGCAGGTCCCAAGCGTATCGGATGTCGCCGGTGTCGCTTTACGGTTTTCTAATTGTGTCCGCTACACACAGCCCGCGCGGCCGGCGAGCATCTGCGCTGTCATGCACCATCGCACACCCGGGTTTCTATTCCGCTCGCTCATTGAACGGTGACAATAGGTTCGGCTCGGATGTACCGCGGAGAATAACAATTTCCTTGATTAAATTAGCACACAATTCGGCAGTTTTTATACAATAGTGAAAAGTTATAAAAAATAAATAATTACCTTAAATTATTAGATTATATAACTAGAAGTCGTGTACTTGACAAAAGCAGGGTTCAAGAAAGGAAAATAAGGCAGGATCTGCTGACATCTCCCTCCATATCCTAAAAGCCCAAGTTAGTCTTGTACAGTTTTAAGTTTTTGAGATAGAACATTGTAATGAAGACAGACAAGGTTTTCCTTCTAGAAAATTGCCGTCACCCAGCCGGTATTTCCCTCAACTAGTATCCGCTTCCTCGTTCTTCTAATTTCATCAATTTAGTTTTCCTCTATTGTGAATTAGACATTTATTATTATACTATGATGAATTATCCTTGTTCTTACAATTGATTTATTCTCCAAAATATCTGTATGTAATATAACGCGTATTAGAACAATACGCATATAGAGATAAAAAAACAACATTGTTTATGTGATTATGCACGAGCCCAGTCGGTTATAACGTGACTACAATAGCGTAGAGAATTGTCTGATTGGAAAATCATCGATAATAAAGTTTATGCCGGAACAACCCTAAACAGTTCCACCTACAAGCATTTTTATCGATAAAATCGGTCAGCCGACCTAACAATGCTTAGATGCTCTATATTATGTAATATTATGTTTGTCGATATCATTTGTTTTGAACACATCCCTTTTTGCCGTACGTGTGCCTAATCAATAGAATGTATTCATGAAGAGAACTTATTCCTAAAATAATTGCAATAACTAGTCAGTCGTGTCCTAACTTTCTCGATAATTACTAAACGATCTATGTTTAAATGCGAATTTAGAAAGTCTCCTTATAGCATGTGGGCCCTTTGACCTCGAACTGTAGATGTGCCGGATGACTCAAGGCTCGCCTAACAAAGAACTTTCATACAGACGTCAAGACACGCTGTACGCATTTAAAGTAATGTCTAGCGTGACTATATGTCACGTACTTTTGTCATGGTATACTAAACTCTGAGTCGGTTTAAGATTATGGATTAGATACCAAAATTAGGCAATTTTGAACTGAATCTAAACTGAAACTTATATGCATTAATTGGCGATTAAGAGAGAACCTTAGTGTCAAATACCGATTTTTAAAACGACAACGAAGATTAGAATATAGTTATTTTGAATTAGTGTAGTTATTGTAGTTAAAACTTGTACTAACTTAAACTAATTGAACAATTTTTTCCTCAATGTTTTACAAGGACAATAAAACTTTTAATTACAATTTTTATCAAAGGGAACACTGACATTATATTCATAGAAGCACTGACTCACGGCATCTTAAGTATTTAGGGTAAAGTATTTGACATTTTCCTTAATTACATACGCCATGGCGGCGGTTAGCGGGTAATTAAGAATGTCAAATATACATCAAAGGATAACATGTAGATCGTACTAAGAATAACAACAGTAGTTTCCACTTTTAAATCTATTCTTCTATACTAATATAATAAAGCGTAAACAAACTGCTTTGTGGCGTAGGATGTCAGCAATCATAGCACATTTTTGAATAATTCTTTTAGTAAGCCCCTACACTTACGACACGCTTTAGGCTATATATTTTCACGCTATAAGTCTAAGGAGGTAAATTATTGGAATAAATCCTTCATGTGGAAAAGGGACCATAAACTACAAGCTGCCAACATTAGGGAAGCAATTTTAACGGTCATTGTGACATTTGCAATTGAGAATTTGACAAATGTAAACAATAAAATAAAGTTTTTATAATTTCATGCGGATGAAGCCGCAAGAGAACAGTTAGTTTATTATAAATCTAACAGTACTAGATATCCAAAGTGGTCAAAACTGACTCACCGGGATCCGCGGAAAATGCGACGGAGGTACGATGGTCGGGTTCACAGGTTAAAGTAATGTAGTTAAGATTCTTCTAACATTTTGCCGTTTCGTTATGGAATTTTGTTTAATTAATATTTATACTAACATACTGTATTTGAATACGTCTATAATCATGTTAAACATACGTAAGACAATTGGTTACGGCTCCTGGTATTGCTAACAATCGTCTAACGTCGCATGAATATTCAGCGAAGGTCATCTTAAGGTGAGTCTCCACTGTCGTAATATGTCACCGTCCTTCTTATTCTTATTTTGAAACGCAGAGATAGCGTTAACATCTTAATTCTTACTGATTTATGAATTTGAATGTATGTTACAATGTAACTACAGAACGATTGAACGGAACTGAATGACATTTGGAACAGAATAGTCTATAATATATCATAGACTGTTTATATTTTTAACTTTACGCGACAAATTGCGTGTGCGACAACTAGTGTGTTATATGTCTTACAATAGTTGAATTTAGATTACATGCATAAGTTATGCCATATTCTTATATAGTACAGAGATAATAATAATATAAAAATATAAATAAATGTAAAGCTGTTAACTGTTTTAATTAAATACGTTCTCAAAATTATATCACTTTCCGCTCTGACGTATACTTCAACATAATACCACAAAGTTGTATAAAATACTAACTTTTTCCTCGACTATATCCGCGCAGAATTATAAAAAAACTTAATTAGTACCATAATGGTATTTCAGATTATGTTCTACATTTGTGACAATCGAAATTTGATTCTTTTTGGAGATATTTAGTAACAACCGAACTATCCATCCAAACTTTTACAATTAGTCAAAATACTTATAAGTGAAATGTCACTTGTTAAAATAATATTTTTACAATAACGTAAATTGCCACAAAAGTCTTAAGTTACCGAGTTTGTTAAAATATTTTTTCCACGATTATGTAATTGTTAATTGTATGTAAATATACACACAACTTAAAGTAAGGCTAAGAATACACACTTGCACTTTGTTCTGTTTTCACATTATTACACATCCGGAAACATGTTATACTAGCTGTTCCTGAGCGGCTTCATCCGCATGAAATTATGAAAATTCTATTTTATTGTTTACATTTGTCAAATTCTCAATTACAAATATCAAAATGATATGACATGATGAAACCTTGCTACCTTGATGTTGGCAGCAACTTATGGTCTCTTTCCCACATTAGAGTTTTTATCAAAAATATTTACCCCCTAAGTTTAAAGCGTTAAAATATATAGCCTAAAGCGTGACGCAAGTGTAGGGCTTTTTATTATAAAATGAATTATTCAAAAATATGCTGTAATTGCTGACATCTTAGGCAACAAAGAAATGTGTGATTACGCTTTATTATAATAGTATAGATACGTAACTATGTATTAAATAACCATAATTATGTATGGTTTTTAATTAACATTACATGGTTGTGTAATGCCTTTTTTAATAAGCGATGACACAAATAAGACCTTTAACTTACATATGTTTCTCTCTCTTTCTTCATTGTGCCTCTATCTTCTACGAACTAAGGATTCTTGCTTTCGTTGTGGCGTTTTACTAATAATGCTTTACAGTATAAAAATTTTATAAACGTTCATAATATATGTATCTGCACAAGAAACATCCAATATGGATCCGGTTTATTTGCATTTTCAAATAAAAATTATTAGCGTAATTTCCGACATTTGAAGATCACACCTTATTTCGTACGAATTGAAGATTTTTATTCAAATTTCTAGACTAGTCACACATAGCGTCTAGGCTAGGTCTGAGGCAGATGCCCATGACCATGACACAAGACACAAAAAATAGATATCGGCCTGAATAGTCTCAAGTCACAAATTCCACATCCCTGAGCGACTGATTAAATTTTCCGTTAAATTAAACAAAAATCGAAATAAAAGCTGGAAACCGTTATAAAACGCATTAAGTAGTGTTAAATTAGATTTGGATCAACAGACGTTGTTGGCGACCTTGTTTTTAATTTATAGAACGAATACGTAACGGTTACTGTGAAATATACATCGATAATAGTCTAATAGTTATGGGTACAGACTAGCGATCTAGTGGTCGTGGGTTCGATTCGAATACCGCCATCTTCTAATTTAAGCCCAAGCTTTATTTGGAATGTTTTTAAATATGAAAACATTGTTTCAGGCATCGACAATCGATGGGCGGCGAAAGGGAGCGTGCCTCTTCTGCCAGGAGTACTTTATGGACCTCTACCTACTAGCAGAGCTCAAGACTATCAGTTTAAAAGTAAGTAAACAGCGAAAATGCTAAGTAACGTAGCCTCAATAATAACTAATAATCTTAACTCTCAACGTATCTTTAGTTCCTGTATTGTTTATTTTTACGAGCAAGTAATTATGCTAGTAGTGAAAAAAATAAGAAGCACCATTACGAAGATATACTAGATTTTCAAATTATCTGTAAAATATAGACAGCACGGTTTTGGGGATTAGTGGTCGTATAGTTCATGCAAGGGCTGTACGGTCGCTGTGGTGAAAGTTTGAGAACTTGAACCTACTTATGGCCTCGTCTAGCCTTTCATATAACTTCTGTTAATTTGAAAAAGATTTCCAAACTCGTAAATACCAGGTGTTCATAAATGTATGATGCCATATTGCAGGTGACGACAGTCGACATGCAGAAGCCGCCGCCGGACTTCCGCACCAACTTCGAAGCGACGCATCCGCCCATACTGATTGACAATGGCCTCGCAATCCTTGAGAACGAGAAGATTGAGCGTCATATCATGAAGTCCGTACCCGGTGGTCACAATCTATTCGTACAGGTATAGTTAGACAATTTGCTGCAATATTAGAATAAAACAAATAGTTACTAAGAATCATCATCATCCACAGTCTCTATCAGTAATTCCCACATCCTTAAAAATAAGTATATTAACTTATTATAACTTACGTGATACATTATACTGCAAATTATTTAAAAAACAACTCTTTCTGAAGAAGGGTAATAACTGGTTGGTGCGTACACCGAAGGCTGTTGTGAGTTAATCGGTGTTTTCTAATTAATAAGAATGTCTATTACAGGACAAAGAAGTGGCCTCTCTTATCGAGAACCTGTACTCAAAGCTGAAGCTGGTGCTGGTGCGTAAGGATGAGCAGAAGTCGGCCGCGTTGCGTGCGCATCTCGGCCGCATTGACGCGCTGCTCGAGCGCCGTGCTACCAGGTCAGTGTCCAAACAACTTGAAACTAAACTATCGCACAACTGTTTAGTCTTGCTTTAATTCCTATGAGATTGGAGGTGCGCACACTACTCAATTTTTAGTTATGTTTAGTTGCACAACTAATAGTTGAAAGCTGCGAAACAATCGACAATCGCACAAAAGATTTGTTATAGTTTAGTCAAAAGTGTGCGCCCGCTTCTCTATTATAAAGTTTACAATACTTACAAAACACACAAAAACTATCTCATGGCTCTATGTAATTTCAGATTCCTAACGGGCGACACGATGTGCTGCTTCGACTGCGAGCTGATGCCGCGTTTGCAGCACATTCGCGTCGCAGGCAAATACTTCGTCGACTTCGAGATACCGGTACGTACTTATCGCTCATAAAATATTTTCCGACAAATCAATCCTTTACCCATCTTGGCAATGTCAAAAGGTTATTTTCATAGAGTAGCTAAGTACTTTAGCCTTTCTTGTTTGGTTTCATATTCTGTGTCCAAAGGTTTTTTCTGATATGATCTTCCGCGACAACTGCATTCCTCTAATCGAGCTAGATGTTACCAATATACTAGCTTATGCCCGCAACTCCGTCCGCGCTGAATTACAAAAGCGAGTAGCCCTCGTTTTCTTACAGACTATCCTCTACATCTATGCCAAAACTCATCGAGATCCGTTCAGCAATTTAGGCTACATACTTTAATAAACATCCATCCATGCATCTATCCATTCACACTTTAGTATTTATAATATTAGTAAGATTAGTAAAATGTGTGTTTATTAGAGGAAGTTTGAGAGTAGCCCCAGTGGTTGAGAAAATAAAGAGTAAAAGGTTAGAGTGGTATAGGCATGTTATGAGAAGGGATGAATCGCATGTAACAAGAAGGACGTTAGTTATGAATGTGGAGGAGTACATCGGTAGAGGTAGACCTTGAAAGAGATGGATGGATTGCGTGAAAGGTGACATGATCAAGAAGGGAGTGATGACTGAGATGAAGGATGATAGAGTGCTTTGGAAGATGAAAACCCGGTGCGCCGACCATACGGGAGTAGGATAAGGCAGGGGAGATGATGAGTAAAATGTGAGTTTAGATGGACGGATGAATAGATAAATGTCAGTAATGATCGCCGAAACGGCTCAACTGATCTCGATGAAATTTGACACATGTAGAATAGAGTCTGGAAGAACACATAGGCTGCTTACACTTTATTTCTGCTCGAAATTCGCGGGCAAAAGCTAGTTATTAACATAAACGTAGTTGTACTCTCTTCAGGCTTTTGCTAGAATATACGACAAACGATGGGCTTCGAACTCACGCCAACTTGAAGGGATGTCCATACGCTTAACCATCATCCAATTGGCGATTCTATGTGAATATAGTTAAAGGAAACGTCTGACAGGTGACTTTAATGGGTTGTCATTGACAGTGTCAAACTAAAAATAGAGTGAGTACATAACCCACCATAAACCGTTTACCTGACCATAATAGTACAGATTTTTTGTCGGTTTAGTACGCGAGAGTTGGTACTGAATGTTCTAAATATTAGTCAGAGTCACAGGCAATAGTAAGATATACTTGTTTAGTTTGATTTTGTTGTATTCCAGACGAGTTTCCGCGCTCTGTGGCGCTACATGTACCACATGTACCAGCTGGACGCGTTCACGCAGAGCTGCCCCGCGGACCAGGACATCATCAACCACTACAAGCTGCAGCAGGTATGTCCCCCCATACTACACATCACACAATTTCTTATCTCCTGGTACTATACAACTATACTGAATTTAAATCTATATCTATTTAATCTGTATTATATTTTTTTACTTTTTTCTTATATAAAAAAAAAAACATTTTTTCTTGTATAGTTTATTTTATCTTTAATTACATGAAAATTGTGACTTTTATAGTTTAAAGAACTGAGTATATCTACTCCTTAATGTTGCAATATAATTTTTACTTAAGGGGTTCTTTCGTACTATCTCTTCTGTCTCTATTTCTGAATTGGGAGTTTTTATATGGGTTATTGTATCCGTTATATGTATACTATGAATATTTCTCACTGTCACCAACAGTTGTCGACAAAAGGTTTGCTCATGTCGCCGAAGCCGACACGACAAAGGATCGACGACGAGCCGGTACGTTGCGCGTTGTCTTGCTGAAACATTTCGCGCCATTTCATTTAAAAAAAACAATTGTCTATGCGTTTAATCACGTGCCTATTTGCGCGGGCTGCTTTACTGACGTAATGAACATAGAGATATTGTATTGTCTATGGTTTGACATTGACAGTTTGTTTTTTAGGTTAATTTTATTGTAATATTTCTATGTTAATTTATCTGTGATATTAAAATACTTGAAGCACAAAGCGCTGCGCTGTTGTATATGTGGACCGCATTGTACATTTTGTTTACTTAAAAGAGGTGGAAGTTTTTTTTTAATGTCATCAGTATAACATCAGTAGTCAATACTAGTAAAGTGGACTATTTGTGCGTGTAAAAAGCGTCTACAACATAGGCCCTAAAAAAGTATTCTAGGCATTAAATTTAATCCTAAAAGCGGTTTTTAACCGAGTTTCGGCAAAATTCGGTTTTCTTGATTTTTACAATAGAAAAATAGTTTCGGCCACTCATTAAATATGCAGGATAAAGATTAAAATTTAATTTGTTTAGGTCAAGACAATTTAAATATGGTGTTGCCATAACAAAAAAATGATAATACTAAGTTAATAGTTATACTAAACTAATGTAATCAAGAAATTTAAATAACAGTATTGTATATAATATTCAGATAATGATATTGGATTTATTACATAAAACATTTAACCTGAAAATGGAAATATTTTTGCATGTTTCTTATTATTTAATGTTTGAATTGCCATGTAATGCATTTTCATCTTGGTCATATTTAATTCTAAATTCCAAAAGGTCATAGACAAAGTAAAAAATGGACTGGTAAAATATCGATTATATGTACTAATATGAAAACAATTATCGATTTCAAATCGATTTCTGCATCATTTTATATAACAGCCCTAACGCTTCATTTCATTAATGTGTTCGTTTTGTTGGGAATGGTAAATCAGTCGACGTCATATTAACAGGCTTCGGTGTTGTGAGTCGGGTTGGGTTTTATAAACTAATGTTTATTTTTTTAATCTCTTTTATTTTTTCTATTGCAACTAACTTATTCTATTGATAATTTTATTATTCCACATTCTGATTTATTTTTATTAAATGATACTATTTTTTAAATATGTTATGTGCTCATAAAGGCTGTATTTTATTACAAATATGTATATTTTATGAACAAAAATAAATGTAGAATTTAAATTTATCGAATAACAGATAACCTATATGACTATATAGTTATTTGAGGTTATAATGAATAACGATGCAGGTACTTTTTTTTTCATTGTGTTTAGGTAAAATTTAACACTAAATTTCAATTTGCAGGCGCTTAAAATGAAGAAACACGAAGAACTAGAGACGCCAACATTTACTACGTCAATTCCGATCGACGTGAACGATGTAAGCGGCGCGGAGTAGCGGCGGCAGTGACGTCAGCCGGATCTAAACTTGGTACAATAGACATTAAGCGGTACAGGCCTCGTACACACGCAGTCATACGCAGTCACACGCAGTCATACGCAGTCATACGCAGTCATACGCAGTCATACACAGTCATACACAGTCATACGCAGTCATACGCAGTCACACGCAGTAATACGTAGTCACGCGTTGACTGCTGACGTCACTAGGGTTGCGGAAAACATTATTTATATCGATTTTTACCAAAATTTCAGATGACACTTTATTTAAATGAAAATAACTTTTTAGTTTGTACTATTTTTGTTAGAAGACCGTGTGTGTACCTTTGTTGAATAATTATTTCTAGTAATCGATAACTTTTCAAGGTTTTATTTATCTAAATACTATTACGCTATTGTTATAGAAATCTAGACGTATGATTGCTATTGAAAATTGCTTTGGCTGTAAAATTTAATAATTTTTCATAATAATGTCGATATTTTCCAACCCTAGGTATAAAAAGTGCCAGGGGATGTTCCGAAATAAAATTTGAATCGTGTGATATTCCTTTGCCCCATTTATCCCTTGGCCAGTCAACAAATTCATCGTTTAAAACTATTTTTGTAATTTTGTAAGAAAATTAAAAACTTATTATAATTTTATCGCTGTAACAATATAATTTGTTAGTACATTGCAATTTGTGTGTGTGCGGTGTAATCGAAATTTATTATTTTATATAAATGTGGTGATTGTTACTTAGCTGTGTCGTGTTAACTTAAAGGCAGATGCCTTTTTAAGCCTTATTTTCGTTTATCAAATGAGAAGTATGTTTATTATGTATGGCGATTATTTTTTGTTAAAATGTTGATTTGATATCAGGCAGAGGTGCTAAAAGTTTACCTACGAAACTTCAGAAATGTTTTCATAACCTAAAATACTTCATCTAGTATTAGTGCATTTTGTAAAAGATTCATTGTTCAAACAACGAATTGATCAGGCATTTTGTATTATATTCACAGTTTTAGATTTAAGAATTTACAGTATTTAATGTTATTTCCATGTTTATTTAAATGTTTTAGGTTAGAAATTTTACCGCCATTTTGTTAATTCTGCCTCTGCCTTGTCATGCGCGAAATCAGAGATTAAAAAGTTTTATTTTAAAAAATCACAGTGAGCGCTCTTGCCTGCCTCATAGTTACCTTTTTAAAGGTATATTTTAGGTACTTATATCTTTCTTATTTATCTTAAACTTATTTAACTTTAGTTATGCTTGACGTCTGACTTATTTGACACTGATGACTAAAAACATCATTTAAAAAAACTATAATACACTGGTATTGTTGTACTAAAATAAATTTTTAGGAAACAAAACCTACGAGAAAAACACGCGCTATTACTTACTAAACATTTCTTACAAAATATTGTGATCTTTTAAGTTTTCATAGTGAATTATTTCATTTTATTTTATTTTATGGCGTAGACCATTATTATTTCTGGCAACATTATTATTTTTTAACGTTCAAGGAAAGACCTGACACATCATAGTACACAGCGAGAGATCAACATGTCATTCGACATAATTTTGATTGTAAAAAATACTAATGCTTTATAATTGTGTAAAGTTATGCCATTATCATAGCATTTACACGATTATTAAGCGTTATTAGATTATAATTTAAATGTTAAGAAATAAACCTGGATAAATATTATTTTTTTATTTGAGTTTTATTTTGCATGCCTTTTATTTATTCTTTTTTTGTATTTTTCATCACTTAAAATTAATAAAAGTCTTGAGAAGAATGCAATTTCCTTTTCCAGCTATTTTTTTAATATAAACATGATTATGTAAAATGACGTTCAGTTAACATTTTTATGATTTTGATTGTGAGATTTGATTTTTGTATAAACTGACTTAAATGCAGACTAACAAAGGCGCTTTCCTATATTATTAGACTTAAAATATGCATTTTTGTATGCTATTGTGATATGTAGCTTTTTTACCTTGATACAAATTTACTATGATAAGCCTTTTTGTATCATAGAATAATAAATAGGGTTCATAAATTAATCCTCTCTTATTACTAACCTAAATTTTATTTAACCTTCAACAATTTAAGATCGAACAAGAATGGAGTCAACAGTCTTACTTCAAACTTAGAAAATTTCCTGGTTGCGAAGTATAAGTGGATAACGCTCATTTCATAATTTGTAAAAGACGAACAAAAAGAGAATATTCCAAACATTATTCAACTTTAAAAAAGTAATTTCCTGTCCTAACAAGTTTTTGGACGTAGTTTTATTTTTTAATATAGTAAATGGCAACATTGTTCTGTCAATGTCACTGTCTTTAAAATGCCAACTTGCCAAATTCAATATTATCAGTCACCAGTGATAATAAAATATGCAATGATAAAAACATTTCAGGAAGTAAACTTTGAACCTATTAGATAAGAAATGTATTCTGTAAGTAGACGGTTTTAAGATCCCGTTATGTCTTTGTCCCCTCAAGTATTATTGTCTAGCCTAGCTCGCGAACGATGTGTCGCGAATGTGAAGGAACTGCCAGGATTTTTCTTCACTAAAGAAAAACCTAAAGACAATGCCTCGGTTTTGGTGCCATTATGTGTGCAGAACGGTGAAGTATACCTATTATATACACTTCGTTCTTCAAACTTGAAAAATCATAGTGGACAAGTGTCATTTCCTGGTGGAAAAAAGGAGGAAGGTGAAAGTGTAGTGGAAACGGCATTACGAGAAACGGAAGAGGAAATTGGCGTCCCTGCTAGCAATATAGACGTATGGTGCGAAATGCCACAAGTGCAGGGACGAAATAAAGACATGTTGATCACACCCGTTGTTGGCGAAATAATTAACTTCGATCCAACGGCGTTGCGGCGTAACTTTAATGAAGTGGAAGAAATATTCACTGTGCCGATAAAAGAGCTATGTGATAAAAGAAATCATGCGCATCTCCGATATGAAAAACATCCAATACCATTGTTCATGTATGAGAAACATAAAGTGTGGGGTATTACTGGACTAATAACACATTTATTTTTGCAATGTTTTTTACCCTCTGAAGTTTATAAAGGTGACTTTTTAAGGAGAAAATTTGAGTTGGATGAATTAATGCCGTCAAAACTCTAACCCAATGTTTATCTATATTTAAATAAATATATATTGTATATCTGGTTGTATATTGTAAACTATTATATTTTGAATTCAGATACATCTGATATATTTTATATAAGCACAAGTGTAGTTAAAAAGTTGAATGCTTTGTATTAAAATCTCACATATATAATTTTATTGTAACAAAGTATAATGTACTGGAATGGTAAAAAAAACTATTTACATTGCATCAGATTACTTTTATTATGCAAACAATTTAATAGTACATTATTTTTTTTAAGTTCTGTTAAAATGTATTTGACTAAATTATAATAAATAAGATAACTCTTGGTAATTCTGAATGAGATAAGTAACTTGACTTAATATAGATGAAATGATAACCTCCTTCTCTCGGGAAGTCAGGTAGAAAAGTATTTTATTAAGAATTAGATTGTTTGTTAAGTTTTTAAAGTTTTTGTAATACATAAAAACAATTTGTTCATATTTTGGTGCAGCAAAAAAAATAAATGACAGATTTTTTCATTTAACATTCAGATTCTTTCAAAATTGACAATTTGATTCCTGTTTGACTTTGAAAGGCATCAGCATAGCATTGGAAGTGGCAAGGGCTGTGGAAGTTCTTATTATTTGTGGAACAGACGGGCCGCATTATCTTAGGGCACGGACAATCAGGCCATGCTGTCTCGAACCAAGGCTCACTGAGAGCTGATGACATCAACACAAGCAGAAGTGTTACTGAAAATAAAAAAAAATATATAAAAACTATGAACCATTTTTTTTAATTAGATTCATATTCAACCATTCTATCGTCAAACTAACGCAAATTCTGCACATTTGTAATTCACCTAGAAAAAATTAATTCACTCACAGAGTTCACACTATATTTTAAAATTAAAAATTTAGCAAAAATAAACTACTAACCAATTCTATAATCCATAGCTCGATTTCAACTTTCAGTGTTTACAGTTCGTTGTTTAGACTGCCAGTACCACTTTCTCCAAAACTCTACCTTAATATACAGGTAAGCTATATCATCGTACTGTTTCCGGTACACCGATAATGGATAATAAAAGCTGACAAAACGTCCAATTCCCGCCCAGTTATAGCCAATAAACTGTACGACCTACTTAACTGTTGAATCGAAGCAATTTAACGTCTTTATTTATTGCGTGTGATTATTTTTTTTTAGATACGAACGTTTTAATTATCGATGTAAATTCTTCATTCAGTAACAAACATTTAAAAACTTATTAGAGTTGCTTTTATATCTTGGTGAGTTTTTATGTAGTATCCATTGTGACCTATGGGTGTCATCAGGGGGAGGAGCAGATACCCTTTCTTAAAAAGTTAAGATATAAAACTACTTAGTATATTATAGCAGCTGCTCTCGGCTGACAACGTTTATACGCCTATACTAATATTATAAAGAGGAAAGATTTGTGTTTATGTATGTATTAAAAAAAAACTCAAAAACTACTGGGCCGAATTTAAAAGTTCATTCACCGTTAGAAAGGTAATTTTTGGTGAGTAACATAGACTTTTTTAATTTCATGCGAACAAAGTCGCAAGCAACAGCAAGTTGTATATAAAATTGTAATTCTATATCTTGTGTCTTAACATCTTGTGCACATTAAGTTGACATACTCAAGGAAATTAATGCTACTGCCATCTCTAGGTATATATAGGTCTGTTGGAATTTATTTTAAGAATTCAGCCTGAATTTTGTTTAAACAGCCAGATACTAAAACAATACATATACTAAATAGTTACTTCAAGTATTCACACTTTTTAGACGAAAAATGGAATTCATTCACTTTACGATGCTGTATGATCGTGATAATGTATTAGGCGAGCCAGCCTATTCGCACAACTAGTGCTGATTTGGTCTCTACCACTGTTGAAAATGATTAATTGATGTTATGATTCATTAAATAAATCTAAACACGTATATTTAAATACTTTATTGTATAGAAAATTACAATATTTAATGAGGTGTAGATGGCGGTAATAATTTACAATCGACTGATTTTATCAGACGTTGGTTATTAGAATAGAGGTGGTTTAGCCGACATTCGTAGGTACACAAGTTCCTATACCGTCGCATGTCGTTTCCGCAAATCGGCTCGTATTCTGCAGTACAGGGACATTGCTTCTCCGACCAGTCGGTCCACGGCTCCTGCTTCGCGCTTACTCCAATGTAGATTAAAAATAAAAACAAAAACACTGGAAAAAAGTTTTTAAAAAAATATTAGTCCAAACGTAAACTATATGAAAGAAATCACACATAAACCTTTAAAATCTGTAAGTTTAAGCGCAAAAAAAAACGTAGTGTTTGAGCCAATTTATTTAGTAGCTCTAACTTATAGTAAGTGCTATCTCCACGGAAGTCACAGCTATAATATAAAGACAAAAACAAATACAAGCAATAAGTTATTGTCCACTGTTACATGTTTTTTTTTTTAATATTTCAGTAAAATAAAATTAACTAACCGATTCTGTTATCCATTGGCGGGAAAATTTGACAACGTTGCACGTTAAATAGACACCAGAGACAATGCAAATGCAAATTGCAATTTCACCAAAACACCACGTTAATATATTAACAGGCAACACTATCACGATACTTCCGTTTGGTAATCAAAAGAAAGGATAACGGTAATTAATGTCTCTACTTCCCACCTCAATTAAATTTACGACCTAATGAATTACGCATTGTATTTCTTTTATTATTTCTACAGATATCAATTTGGGATCCGTTTTACTACCGTAACAATTACCTGTAAAGAAAATTATTGATGAACGAACAATGTAACTCTACTTTTTCATTATCTAGTTTAGGTAGGTCCTATGATCTACCTACTTGTTCACAGCTTGTGCTCTGAAAAACTCTGAAACTGTTTTTATCTAAAAGTGTTGGTGTTCTAAATAGTTTAAGATTGGTTATCTAATAATAAGCGGTAAGAGTGCGTATTGCTTGTTGCATATAACATAATTGTTTAAATTTTAATAAATCGAATCCAAAACTCTGCACGCACTTTTTTCACGTACTGAACACAAATTAAAAAGATAATTATCTGGGACATTCCATCCGACTGTAAGCTTGTTGTAAACAAGCTCTAATACTTCCGGATGAAAAAACCCGATTTTCTCAGAGAGTTTTCTGAGAACAAAGCACTGTTCCAGACGAACAAAACAATATGGCGCTGACAAACATTTGTCCACAGTCCACAATCAGATGTGTTTACTAATGCAAGTTTCACGAACCGTGTTTTCCTTGTATCGATAATTACTATTCGTGTTCGTAGTGTATTTTTTTTGTACAATATTTTTTTTAAAATAAAAGTCAAAATAAACACTTAATCAATCGAATATCACAGGGTCAGTGCTTATCCAGATTTAAAAATAAAACAAAATCAATTTAAAAACTCCTTCATAAATTCGATTTTTAAACACACATAATGCATTTTTATACTTTTATGTGAAAATTAAGTTTTTTAAATTTTTAGAATAAAGGTTGCTACCAAATAAATTGTAGTCAGCCCGTACTAATTCACACAACGAAACTTACCAAGGTGCACGGTCAAGGTCAAGAAAGTACATTGGATGACACAATAATCTAATATTTTTTTATTGTTTAACGCAATCATTTTGTAAATTCTTTATCTAACAATGAAGCTAAACGTGTGAAAAGTCTGCGAAAACAATCGTAACTGTTGATATAAATTAATTTTAAACATTCTAACATGACTTTGAGCTTTAACTAGTTTTTATTGAAATTGTTGCTCAAATTCTTTTAAATGTTGGTATAAATAGAATATTCATATAAGTTTTGTTGAATTTGCTTTTAAAGCAGACATATTATTTGACCAGTCTTGATGACGGCCTACTACTCCATAGACTTCTACAAAAAGTATCAGCTCTCATTCTCCGTGTAAAAAGATTTATTGTATAGATCTGGACAGTGGAAACCTATTTGAACACTACTCGTATAAGTACTTGCTGTTTGATATGTATCACAGACTCGCATAATAATTGATGAACAATAACAATAAGAATAAAGGTAATTAAACGATTTTGATTAATTTTACCACGCCATTAATAATTAAACTTTATTAAAAACTAATTTTATAGTTATTTTGACTAATCCATAACTAGTCGAGGTCAAAGCAAACGTGTCAGGTGTTCTTCGAAGTCTCGTCTGTTTGTCTGTCTGTATCGATCACGTCAACGGGGATTTACAAAGTAAACAAGACGTCCAAGTCACTAAGTGCGTGTGAACACTGATTTTGTTAGTATATAAATATGCGCCTCTCAACACTTCATTATAATATTGGCGGCTGAGAAGACGTGTGTCTGATAAAATAATCGATAAAGGCCTTCAAAATGATTTATCAATTCGGTGAGTTGTTTACATTTTTATATCATTATATTTATACGATTTTGTATATCTGTAGATTTACATCACTAAAATATTTGAATAAAATCATACTCCAATTTCCCAAAAAGATTTAAAGTTGCCGATAACTGGCATGCAAGATTTTTTTTATTATTATTTTAATAATAAGTAAATTTTGTTATGAATTTAAAGTAAATCAGCGTAATATTGTACAGCTTTTAAAAATAAATAAAAGAAATAAACTAACGCTTTACGATCTCGAATATTACTATTTTATTATTCATTTTATGTTTTTAACGTTGGTTTGAATAAATTATAAATAAACAAGACGCACTCATGTAATCGTACACTTCTATGCAATTTTTTTTATGTAGTCATCTTTTTACAATCAGTCAAAGGAAATCTGATATCACGAAGAACGCACTTTCTAAACAAAGATTATTTTTTTATGATAGGAGATTAGAATAAACTGTTGAAAGGAAAAATTGTGAGCATATTTGATAAATTTTCACAACTTTTACGTATATTCGACAATAGTAAATTCCTAGTAATTGGAAATCTTATTTGTTAAGTTATGTTCTGTACAACCGTAAATTTCCATCCACAGTTTATTGTTTACAATAGTCGAATATCAAGTGTGCATTTACATTGAAATTATTTGCACATGTCACAATGTTTATCGATTTATTTAAATCCGATTCAATAAATAAATTGATGACAAACGTTCTGATTTTAAAAGGATTGCGTTTCTGTTTTAAAATAAAATTGTATAGATAGGTTTGTTATAATTTATACAAATACCAGCTTAAAAAAAGCTAGTAGCTTATGTGTTCTTCTAGACCATAATCGACATCTATACTGAATTTTATCTAAAATCCGTTAAGCCGTTACTAACAAACAACCATTTATCTAAACTTTTACATTTATAATGTTAGTATGATTGAATTAATATATAAAAATAAATTTTAATAATGTCTGTTTTTTCTCAGGTATTCTCTTCTTGATAGGATCGATTTCCATGAGCGTCGCGTTACCGCCTTGCGTGTGCACACGTGAACGGAAGCCAGTATGCGCTTCCAACGGACAGACTTACAGTAACCAATGTATGCTGAACTGCGCCCGCGCATCCGACCCTACCGTCACCCTAGCGTCAGTCGGCAGATGCAAACGGGAAGCACCCAGCTGCTTCTGCACCTTCGAAAACAATCCTATATGCGCATCTAATGGGGAGACATATGCGAATGAATGCGAGTTCCAATGCCAACAAACAGCTGATCCAACTCTACGCGTTAATTACTACGGTGAATGTAGAGAGAAGAGGCAAATTAAAGTCGCCAGCTTATCCCCTTGCACTTGCCCTAGGGACTCTAAATTCGTGTGCGGCAGTGACGGCGCTACATATAGCAACGCTTGTGTACTGGAGTGTTCAACGCAGGCTAATCCAAGCCTCTACATGGTGCACGGCGGTCCTTGTGACAATAGAGTCAATGTGGTAGAACACGCGAACAATCTTCCTTCTTGTTCCTGCGCTAGGAATTACTTCCCAGTCTGCGGAACGGACGGTAATACATACAATAACTTGTGTCTCCTTCAGTGCTCGGGTACTGACGTGCAGAGCTTTGGACCCTGTTAGATATACAATGAACTTAATTCGCTTGCCACCTAAGGTCGAATATTGTATGAAAATTATAAAAGATATTATGTATATTGCTTAATTACATTTAACTAGTGGGTAGGAAATAAAAGTCTCTATCTGTGTAAACTGTTATAACGAGTCGAAACCGTTGCCATGTCTCTTATTTTTTCTGGAACAAAGTGAGATAGGTATGTTCGTGATACGACAGTAGAAAATTCACTTTTACTGTGATCTATTTTGTTTTTATAATTAATTGTATGTCCAATTGATTTTGTCATGATTTTTTTTCTGTTATTTTTTTTAACAAGTATTGACAAATGCTTAATAAGATTTCAAAACTCTGACGTACAGATAACGTAATCGGACAGATTGGTGATGTACACTATCAGATAAATATTGACAATTTTATATTAAAAATTCGGATTATTCCCAACCGTCACTCCGCTCTGTCCTCACGTATGGACAGATGAGAATGAAAAGTTTCATCCGTCCCACCGTTAGCGCCGAGGGGACGGTTAGAACTTATTTTATTTCTTAACGGTTCCATCTGTCATCTTATTGGTGATAGTGGGACTAAAATGTGGGACGGATGAAACTTTATATTCTCACGTGGGGACAGAGCGGGGTGATGATTGGGAATAATCCAAAAATTCAAATTTTATAACACTATTTGTTTTTTGTGTACCTTGTTATTTTTTTATGTTTCTTTATTTTAAATAGCTTTAATAAACATTTTAATTATGTTACAAAACTCTGTATTAGTTACACTCAAGACATTTGTAATTTAAATTCCAAACGCAAGATTTATAAACAATGTTCTCTTTAAATTGTACAATTATTGTTTTAACTATCTTTATATAGAAAATAAAATTGTTGAAAACATTTTCGTATTTTAATCCTTCCGTTTGCTGTGTAAATGTAGATATGTTTATTTACAAATACACTTTACAAGTCTTCGACTTGTAAAGTAGACCATAATAAGAGCACGGACCTTACTCCTAACAGTTCAAGGTTTGTTGATCATTTTATACACGATAATTACAATAATTAACCATACTGATAAATCACAATAACAATTATTTTTAATTACAAATAATCATAACATACAATTTCGAAGTAATTTAAAAAATTATCAACATAACGTAGGTTATCATTATCAGAGAGTTGAGAAACTGTTTTTAATATAGTTGTAAAAGTTCAAATTGTATTGCTAAATACATAAGCTTACAAACAGAAAATATAGTTCAAATAATAACGTTTTATAGTATCGATGAAGCCACGAAAATACGGAAGAAAATCGTCATAAACATCATCTTCGCGACCTTATCCTACCACGTAGGGTTCTCGCAATAGATTTTATAAACTTTATTTGGCTTAATTTTAACGACTACTGCTTGCTATCAACCCTACTTGGAAGAAGTTAAAATTAAACTAAACGTATCATAAATATTGGTATGTAAAAGCTAATATAATAACATAGTTTCTTCTGTGATTTTTACAAATGTGCAACTAATAGGTCTTACGTCATGTAGGTCATGTTTTTTTTAGTAAGCGGTCAGTTTTCATTAAACGTACCTCGTAAGTATCGATATTGATTTTATCATTTATTTCGAGTAGTAAATAAACAACAGAATACAAAATTGCTGGTAATCTAAATGTTTACAGACGTACCGATAACTGTTCTCAGAACGGACAGGAAAATGATGTATAGTTATTTATGTACCTAAATAAAAAATAAAAAAATAAAATTATTCAACATGACCTGTTTCTATTTTACACCAGACTAGCTGTTGCTCGCGACTTCGTATGCGTGAAATTAAAAAAATAATAAAAAAACATCCTATGTTACTGTGATAACGTAGCTTTTAAAGTAAAAATTTTTGACATCGGCATATTAGATTTTGAGTCATTTCATTACATCTAAAATACAAATCTTTCCTCTTTATAATACAGTACAACCTCGATAACTCAAACCTTGTTAACTTAAAAACCTCTAAACCTTCAAAAAATAATATGTTCCCTTCCCATCAGAGCCCAAAACCTCTACAACATAAACACTTGATAACTTTAAACCTCCGTAATTGAAAAAGTTTTGAGTTTCCCTTGGACTTTAACTTATCGAGGTTCTACTGCATTGGATAGATAGTATGAACTAAAGTTTTTGTGCGTAATGTATTGTAAATTCCATTGTCCGTGTCTGTGCTGTATTCATGATAACTCAGGTAGCCGTAGTAAACGATTGAATTCATTTTGACGAGTAGGGTCATATGTTTTTTCCCTGGAAAGTCACAGGATAGTCAACCAGGCTTTTCTAATTTTAAAATAGTATATTCTATTGTATTTTTCTGTTTTTACAAGTCCATTGTCCTAACACGTTCAGTACCACTTCTGACGAGTACAATTTCATTCGAAAAACTCGTAGTGAGGAACGTGTTAAACAGACAATACAAGGAGTATAATTTTATTATATTTATTTACGCCACGGTCGAACCGTTGTGCAGTGCATTAACTACTTACTGTTGGGACCATGTCTCGTACATGGATATGACTGGCATTGAAGAACGCGAAAACTTTAAACTAGAGCAAATTTTTAAACTTCACGGCACCACTACTAAAAAATTAAAAAAACAAATATGAAATCTTTCAAGGTATATTAACAGAAGCCACCAACGCTAACTAAATCAGTTGTATTTTATTAGTTTTTAAAACAAATAAAAAAACGATACTTTCTGACACAATTTATTGTGTTATCTGACTTCCGATAAAATATTTTCAATAATATATTACAGTTATGACAGTTTGGAAGACTATCGTATAGGACTTTATGGTCACCCTACATTACCATTGTTAAGTGTTATTTGTTTAATAAGCAACAACACTACTCACATCTCAAGCATCAAGCGTGACATTGAGAGTGTCTCGAGGTCATATCATAACTGGACCATATAGCCAATATAACGCCATAAAAAGGATTTGTATTAAAAAAAAACCCCGCAAGATGAATTTTCTGAAGAAAAACCAAAATTCAGTACTATATATACTCATTTTCATGGGCAAACAATCATTGTTCTAATTTGTATTGTTTAGTAACTCTCGATTTCCACATATCTGGCTGCGAGGCAGTGCACCCGCTGAGGCGAGCAGGGCCAAACACTTGTCTCGAAGCATTTTAGGGCACTTTTGACACATGACACACCTATATCTTCGTTGTGTGTAAATATAATAGGTTTGTTGTGTTTTTATTATTTTTCTGCACTGTCCTGTAACATAGAAATGGTGACCGCTTCGGCGGCAACTTAAAAAGCGATTGTCGACACGTCCAGCTCGCAATGAGGTGTAATACTAAATAATACATATCGCGATTTCTTGCGTAAAACATTAATACCATCGTTGCGATGTACAGCCTAAACAACATCTACAGTGGTACTTGGAGACATTTATTGAATACCTAGGACTTCCTTAGTGTTAGAGTCCTTAGGGTTGCGGGTGGTCAGGTTTAGGGCCCTGATTTCTCCGTAGTACATCCCCGAGAAGTGGCTGGTAACTATGGTAGGAGAGCAACTATTAATTGCAAAGCGTCATTAGGGGCGGCGGTAGTATTCTATTTGGAGATCCCGCGGCTCCTTATTATGGCAGTTGGAGGCCACCGTGGGGTTTTAGACGGCACAAATCCGACATAACCACCCTTGTCCCTGCAAGGGTGGTATGCGTTAGGCATTTCCCCACGTTAAAAAAAAGCGTTCTTAATTATATTTTATAATAGATTTTGACCGCGATTTAAAAATAAAATAATGTAGTAATAAAAATAACCTATGTTGCTCAGTAACGTACAATATAGCTTTTTAATGATAAAATAATTTTTGATATTGGCGCTATAGTTTTGTGTCTGTTCGTTAAATACAAAACATATTTCCATTGTATAAATTATTTTACAAGTAGCTGAATACAGACGCTTATATTTATAACAGTGAAAAAAATACAAATGTTTATTTGTTTAGTTACCACAGGAATAACTTAATAAGTAATTATAACAGAAAACCACGTATGTAATAAAAATATGAAAGTTGCATTTTAAGGAGTAATGGCCGTCACACGTCCGAGATGATAAATAAAAAAGTTATAACATATTACGCAGTTGCACATAATCTGGGATTTTACTGGTCACGGTAAAACTTTGTAATAACAAATCAACATCTCTGAATGCGGAGTTCTTAATTTAATGCTTTCACAAGTCTTGACATTAGAAATTACGGTTGAAAAACCTAGATTGCCATTGCCGCACTATTTAAAAAACAAAAGTACGTCACAATGCAAGGAAACTACGGAAGTAAGCAATTTCATAGGCGACGAAAATGTGATTTATGAATTAGTAACAATTGCATGATTACAGTCTTTATCTCACGTTAGTTAAGACTTTTGGACATTTAGACCACGATACTGACTTTTATCCAGGATTATCCGCATTAAATTAAAAACGTATTCTTTGTCATCTATGTTAAATGTCATCGAAATCCATTAAGTCGCTTTGAAGATACATTTAACAAACATCCATCCATCCAATATAAAATAACTTTTAAATTTAACACTGACTTGATTAATAACCTCTAATTAATCTATAACCCAGCATTCATGTGATTATTTGTAATTTATATGCAAACTGAAACTTGTATTATTATAACTAAATCATCACACTATTATGTTGTCATAAATATCGGCAATATTAAGATTAATACTCTTTCAATGAACGCCGCCATTTTTAATCACAGATAAGGAAACATGGCGTCGGCATAATTGGCGCGAATCTTCATTAACATAATTAGTAATTTGTGATAACTCATCACACTCAATATCCTATTTTTATTATTTTCCTGTAACTAGACCTTAAAATGTAAACAATGCAAGGGTAAAATATAATTATTATGAGAATGACCGTCTGGAAAAATTTATTTAAAGCTTTTTAAACTCTAAGAAAAAAATGGCTTTTGTGTCAAAAGAAGATATATCGTTTTTTTATATTTTTTTTATCTCGCCAGAGACAAAAGAGGAAGCTCTTTTAGATTTCATAAATCTGTACGAGACGAGAAAAAAATTCCAGAATCGTACCAAATGTTCGTAATGTCTAGGTACCTTTGAGTTGCGGGCGTATTTTTCCTCTATCCCAATAGTTCCGTACTTTTGTTTCGATAGTAATTCCCCCAGTGCCCATATGTAAACCAAATTTTAATATTAATGTTTACATAAGAATGTGCCTAGCATATGAAAGTTATTATTAGTTAAAATTATTTACTTTTACCTATGCTGTAGTTATTTTTGGGATAAAAAATTGACAACACGATATATTGTTTATACGGCAATCAAATAAATTTACTCTGTTTAACAAAAGTGAAAAAGATTTGGTTTAATTTTAGTATCTTTCCCAAAAACAGCGGTTCAAAAACTAAGTTTTTTTATTTTTTTTTACGTACCGTATTACCCAACAAAACATGAATGAATTAAAAATCAATATTTACAAACACGTATTGGCTCATCTTAACACAAATGCCCTTACAGAGGGTCGGGAAAAACGCATTGCAAGCTACGTCATCGGTCGGGTTTTACGAGGCCTTGTTTAAAATGCCCGCCGCGATATAAACGAGCGCAGTTCGCAAACGGTCACATTGCAATAAACACAGCTATACGGATAACTTTTTTAACACATTTTGTAATTGTTATCAAGCTTTTGTTTTCACTATGTATTTAACCGGTAAGTGATTTTTTTATATTTTTAAAACGTTTTGCTAAAACAAAAGTTATTTGCGAACGTGTTTTTTTTAAATTAGACAGGTTATTGTTTTAATTTAAATGTTTCTGAAATCTCACTATTAGACTATTATAAAATTAATACTACTGCGGTCTTTTAAATACTAAATTAACATTATATAGTTAGATGAATTTATTTTAAAATTCAGGCTAGTAGTTTAAAAGATTAACACAACTTTTGTACTAGTAAATCTGTTATATAAAAACTTCTAGGATATGAAATTACAATGGACATTAAAACAATCCAGTAATTAGTTATCATGGCTACTTAACTGCATGATGTTAGATAATTAATTCATCTTAGCGGAGAAAACAAACAGATTAAATACGGTATTAATTATCTATAACAGGAAATTCAACCTTCACGCCTAAGATGAAGGTATAGGTCACACATAAGGATAGAATTATCTACTATTAATGTATAAAACTAGATGTAAATAGCTTTAAGATATTCTTGTTAGTCTTGGAAATCGTACAATTGCATATTAATATTAGTAGAGTTCTCCATTATTTTTAAGGGTTTTAGTATATTTTCGACGTGTTTTAATTTTGTATTTCCCATTCACAGGTACAATTTTCACAATAGTGACGTACTTGTCACTGACCACCGCATTACCACCGTGCATTTGCACGCGAGAGAAAAGCCCCGTGTGCGGTTCCGATGGCAAAACATATAGCAACTTGTGCATGCTGAACTGCGCTCGCGCATCAAACTCTAGCCTCACCTTATCAAGTTACGGCAGATGCGAAACTCTCCCAATGATACCAAGCAACTGCATATGCACATTCGAATTCAACCCTGTATGCGGTACAGATGGTGAAACATACCCCAATCCGTGCACCCTCAAATGTCGACAAAAACTAATCCAGAGACTAGAGATAAGCCATAGAGGAGCGTGCAGGAACATTCGAGATGTTGACGACTCTTGCGGTTGTAAGAAAAGGGAAACAAAATTAGTCTGTGGCACAGATGGTATCACGTACAAAAACCCTTGTTTACTGAACTGCGCGCGCGAAACGAATCCCGATTTACATGTACTGCATGTTGATTCTTGTGATGAGACGAAAGATGATCTACCTAAAAATCGTCTTTGTGCGTGTACGAGGAATCTACAGCCGGTGTGCGCGTCTGACGGAATCACTTACGGCAACAAATGTCTGATGAAATGCGCGGGAACTCACCTCACTATACTCGGACTCGGATCTTGCGATGAATTTTAATGCTGTCATTTGTATAAATGCGTCATCTCAAAGAATCGCAGTAACGTCTTTAAAGGAAGAATAAAGCTTGCCAAACTGCCGTGGGCGTGAATTATAGTTTTTATATTTACACAATAAGTTGCAAATGTGATACAAATTAGGTTATATTTTATTTTGCAAATGGAATCAAATGAAGCTTTAATCTTTGATATTTATTTAATCTATATTTCTAAATTACGCACAGATAATTAAAAAAAATTGTTGCTAATTAATCGTGCCATACGAGACATCGTGATTGTTATGTAAATGAGGAGTTAATTTACTCAAATATTATATTGTTTGGAAATCGTAAGAACGAATAGCTTATAGTAAAGTCAAATGTACAATGCAATTCAAGAATATCATTGTAAACTTAGTAGTTTAGATAAAATGTTTTTTGTTTTTTTTTTTGCTTCCAAAAATTGCGGGATAATTATTGTTACATAATTGACGTTTTGACTTTATAATATATTATCAATGTTATGCATTATTTTTTTTCCTCAAAAGGTTCTTCACTTCTTAACATTTATATTTGCTTAACATAAATTTGATCACTTGTAAATTTACAGTCAACGAAATAGAAAACTACTTACCATTTTCAATATCTTTACAAATTATTTTAATAAATTAAAATACCAAAAGTCTTAGTAATACTATTTATTCCTTTAATTCATCATTACAACAAAAGCTCTATTTTATTTTCATATTTACACAAACACTTAAAAAACTACCAAATAACGAGAAATGACATTGGAAATAATTTAGAAAATATTTACATGAATAGTAACAAAGATTTAAGCTACGTTTTGGGGTAGGAGAGGGGGGTAGCTAGCAATAATTATTGTTTTTTATCTGACTGAGGGTCACCTGCCTCAGTACTCGGAATCGACCAAAGTACAGTCGCGGAAATTCGCAGTGTTCTAATTACAAAAGAATGCCCAGTTTTTCTTTGCATCAAGACAATATTCCCATAAAGCACCAATTTGGCAACAACAAGATAGTAAAAATCAATTATCCATATACTGAATGACCTTTTTTTTATATAGATATTATAAATAAATATATACGTTATTGGTCCCCATCTAAATGATCAAACATTCAAACGACTATAGCTATAATAAAACACCGCCAATTTCGCCAAAAAACAAACAAAACTGTTTATCACTTGTATCAAATTTTCCTATATGTGGGTAGTACAGAAACATATTAAATTAAAATAAATTAATACTCTTAATATTTGGTCATAATTCTAAATTAGCCAGCAATTCATCATCTTGATCGTTTTCTAAGAAAGTTTCTTTAGTACATTCAGGCTCAGTGTTGTCATTTTGTTGAATATTATATTTTATTGCATTCTTCCTTATATTTGTCCCCGGAATATAATCATTCTTGTTCTTTGCTGGATTCGGTGTTAAATATTGTTTTATATTATTATTTCCCTAAAAAAATCCAAATAAAAATGTATGAATGGAAGTTAGAAATGTCATTGCTTATTTGTTTTTACTTGATTAAATTTTTATTAATATTTTTAAATGATTCCAGAAAACATTGTATAGAATCAAACTTACCTGATGCGTCATCGTGTTATCTTTGAATGTATCGCCGCTCAGACCCACGTTATTAAGTACCTAAATAATAAAACGATCGTTTCAAGCAAGGCAATAGTACAAAAAGCAAATATCTTTATGCGTGTGCAATTGTACAAGACATAAAAATAAGTATGGTAGATGTAAAATCAAGTGTAGTGGGGGTAGCAAGAAGTTTAGTGTGCAAACAGTGCGTGTGACGTGTGGAATATGTGGTGAATGTGGTACGTGTAGTGCGCGGGGTCCGGTGAAGTGCGTGTGTAGCGTATAGTGCGTGCGGTGCGTGTGGTGAGTGTGGTGCATGTAGTGCAAGTGGCACGGTTCTGTACATTTGGTGTCGTGTAGTGCATGTGAAGCATGTGGTGCGGTGCAGTACGTATTGTGCATGTATAGCGTGTGGTGCATGTGGTGAGTGTGGTGTGGTGCAAGTGGTAAGTGTGATGCATGTGGTGAGTGTAGTGTGGTGCATGTGGTAAGTGTGATGCATGTGGTGAGTGTGGTGCGGTGTGAGGCATGTGGTCATTGTGGTGTGTGTGGTGCATTTGGTGAGTGTGGTGAAGTGGTGCGTGTGGTGAGTGTGGTGTGATGCGTACATCGAGCTTGTGCTGCAGCATGGGCCAGATGAGGTCGTCAGCGGTGCGGCGCGCCAGCAGGTAGCGCACGCGCACGCCGCCGCGCGAGCCGATGCGGTGCGCGCGCGCCTCCGCCTGCGTCAGCATCTGACCACATCCTTCCATTACTTATCTTAATATTACACGTAAAATCTATAACCATCTAGATAAGTAGTGTCCTTAACTTTAATCTCGTCAATACTCCCTCATTGATGCCACCAAAGATTAGGTACTATCAAGGAATTTGACGGTGTTCTGTAAAAGCTACAGTCGTTTGAAAGCTTTTGTACGCGAGACGACACTGACCAATAACTATTATATTAAAAGTGTTTGTATGAAACAAGGTCGGTACACATATAGCGTTGTAAAACACCACTACCTAATTGGTTATCTGTAAGTGACGTAGTTTGTCTCGTTGTTACCCTGATTGTTTTTTTTTATTCAGTTGCTATGTATGAAGTGTAATATTTTCATAGTTACTCCGGGGTTCCAGTGCAGCTCGGCGAAGAGCACGAGGCTGGCGGCGGTGAGCGTGAGGCCGGCGCCCGCCGCCGTCAGCGACAGCACGCCCGCGCGGCACGCCGCCCCCAGCTGGAACCTCTCCACGAGCTCCTGGTGCACATGTATACAGTAGAACCTCGATAACTCAAACCTCGGTCACTTAAAAACCTCTGTAACTTCAAAAAATAATATGTTCTCTTCCCATCAGAGCCCAAAACCTCTACAACATGGACCCTAGATAACTTAAAACCTGTATAACTTAAAATATTTTGTGTTTCGTGGACGAAGGCGCGGGCAAGTTAACTTTAACTAGAACTCTCCAGGGTAAAAAATGAATCGAATTTTAGTCCACTTTCTACCTTATTCCTAGAAAAAAATGAGAAGGGAAAGTGTATTTGGCTGGTACTAGGACGCATAGATAGGGGAAAAATCCTCTTTGTGTGCGTCCTCTCTGTTAATTAAAGTTAAGCAACGCATCTGTCATCACATTCTGTCATCACACAGTACACTATTTTAACGAATTCCGGTAGCCGCTTGCTATTTTGTCACCAAAAACTGAAAACATGTCTTAGATATATCTTTATTGAAAAGTGTCAGTTTAAATGTGTATCTCACTGTTCTGGCGGCGGCGGGCGTGGCGCCGTCGATGCAGATGTATCTGGTGTTGGTGTCGTCGAGCGCGGCGCACACGGCGCGCACCACGCTGCGGTGGTGAGCGAACACCAGGAACTTGTCCACACCCTCCTCACACACCACCTGCTTTATATACTTACTGGAACAACATATTTTTTATATTACAAGTCGGCAAACGAGCAAGCGGCCACTTGAATCAGTAAATAGCGAAGCAACCGCTGCCTGCCCAGACATCTGTAATTGCAGATGCATTGCCTACTTTTAATCCGAAGAGACGATAAAGAGAATGTACGTATCCTCCACCGTTAAATCCACTTTTCCTTCCCATCCTTTCTTCTTAAGAAGTGTAGAAAGGAAAAGAGATTAAAATTAGACCTCCGGCTTCACATTTATCAGACTATACACGAAATTACTCCCACTTCTCGCCTGTCTTCTGTGTGGTCGTGGTATTGCGGCGAGCCGGCCTTACAGGACGACGATAAAGTGGACTCTACCACATAACACTAAGCTCTCTATTAAAGAAGTACAATCCGTACTTCAGATACTAGATGGCGGTTTTCTCAACTTTAATTTTTTTTTATATCTACACAAGGAAACTTAATCTTACTAATATTATAAATGCGAAAATTTAGATAGATGGATGGATGTTTGTTAGCGTTTGTAGCCTAAACGGCTGAACGGATCTCCATGAAATTTGGCACAGGTTTAGAGCATAGTCTGGAAGAACACATAGGCTACTTTTTATCTCGGGAATAGTTACGGTTCCCGTGGGATTCATTAATCTAGTTTTTTAATGTTTACTCGATCATTCTGCAAAGGCTCAACATATCTTATTGAAATTTGACACAGATATAAAACAAGGTCTGAGGTACACATGGGATAAGCTTCGTCCCCGAGAAATGTCCAGTTCCCGAGAGATACGTAGCTTTTTGTAATTTATATAGTTTGTATGTTTTTGAATACCACGCGGACGAAGTCGCGAAATACGAGCTGTTGTATTGTAATATTTTCGGTGTGAATAAAACAATCAAATTGATATAATAACAAGTATTGAAGTCAGTAAGCATCACAACTAATATAATGGAACACCGCGAAGCACACTGACTGTACAATATTCACTGACATAACCAATTTTGTTTTTATTAAAATATCAGAAGATTTGTCTTAATTTATTATTATTATTTTATAATTCCAATTATGCTCTAGGTTTTTGTTAGAATTTACAATAGTCGAATGGTGGGATTCAAATCCTCGATCACGAGATCGGAAATCCATACCCTTAACCATTAGATTATCGCTTCAACAAGAGAAACAGTTTTTTTTTAATATACCAGTCATAAACATATACAAGTAGATGCATAAGAGGCAAGGCACACTGACCATATAGCCGGTATCTTAACGCGAGCAGACTCCGTGAAGTACGTGATGAGTGCGGAGTGCCTGTCCGCGGGGCGGCTGTCGCGGCAGCTGGCCGCCATCTGCGACAACTCCTGCTGCTCCTCCTTGCTGAACTGCAGCAGCGCGTCGTCCAGCAGCACCGTCTCTCTGCAGAGACACTATTCAGTCAGGCTAGGAGCCGTGCAGGGACAGAAGGTGGACAGCTGATACCAAATGGAAAGGTGCAAGATGCAAGGAAATTCCGACCAAAACAGCGTTAGGAACATATAAGACATGCAATGAGAAAAGACTACAGGAAATAGGGATGAGATAGAAACCTGTGGAAAGATTGGAGGAGGCCTTTACCCAGAAAGGGGTCCTAATCTTTTGAACTAACGTTATTTGTTGGTAGGGGAAGTGAATATTCATACAAAATAAATATTAACCATAAGTAATTCCTTCTAAAAACAACCTATATAGAAAGGTGGTGACCCAGATGGCTGGGTTAGTGTAATCATATTTCAACCCACCTGAAGACGTATACATCACTCATACAGAAGTAGCTAATTTCGAAATAAAAAATGATAAGCATTAGCAAAACTGCTGACCTTGTCTTACTCTCCAGGTTGGTGAGGACTTGCTCCTTAGTCCTTCTGATGAGGAACTTTTTCTGCAGCAGGATCTGCAGCTCGGCGAGGTTGGATTGGCCCGTCATGTCCCAGCCGAAGTTAGTCTGTTTGCCCGCACAGTACCTCTTACCTTCAATATATTGAAATTGATTGTAATCTTGTAATTAAAGGACGTCGGTGGCTCATGGATTTAAGCACGTAACTTGTAATCAACAGGTCCTGGGTTCAAATCCCGACATTCTTACGGTGAAGGAAAACATCGAAATGCAACCTGCACATATCGGCGAAGAAATTCAAAGATATGTGTGAAGTCAACTCGCAGTGCAGCGTGGTTGACTAAGGTTAGTCACACCTAAGGGCTCCGAACCCAGTAGGGATGTATAGTGAGATGGTGATGTAATTGATTAATTTTGAAGTGTTCACTGAGACTTGTCGCTGAGTGGCCACTCACCATACTCAGTGTAGGAGGAGAAGAAGTTGTTGTCAATGAGCAGCAGCTGCGTGTAGAGCTCTGCGGGGCGGCTGAGCGCGGGCGTGCCGCTCAGCAGCAGCACGCGCGCTGCGCCGCGGCACACCCGCCCCAGCGCGCTCGTGCACTGAGACTTGTTCGACTTCAGATGATGAGATTCATCCTTAACCAGGAATAGCGATCCTTTATGCATCAAATTGCCATATGTTTGACCTACTGCCCAAAAGGAGGTACTCAATTCGTCTGTATGTTTTTTTATGTGTGTTACGGCATAACTCCGCCGCTAGTGGACCGATTTCGATTATTCATTTAAAAAAAAACGTTTAATGCAGTCGTAGACGTGCCATCAAATAATTTTAACTTATTATGTCAATATAATGCATGGCAGACATCGCGTTCACTTAACACCTACTTCATAGTTTTTGAGTGTTTTTATGATCATCGACATGCCCAAAATAGGATAATTCCCAACCGTCACCCTGCTTTGTCCCCACGTGAGAATAAAGTTTCATCCGTCCCATCTTTTAGTCCCACTACCATCAATAACATGACAGATGGAACCGTTATGAAATAAAATTAGTTCTAACCGTCCCCTCGTCGCAAAAGGTGGAACGGATGAAATATTTTATTCAAATCTGTCCTCATGTGGGGACAGAGCGGAGTGACGGTTGGGAATAATCCCCAAAGTATTGTGTTATATGCTATGTTTGCCACCCCTATCCTAGACCATTTACTTTACCAAAAAAGTATAAAGTTTTACAGTAGGTTTGATATTAATTAATTTATAATTCTAGAGCGTCGGTGACTCAGTGGTTTAAGCACTTGACTTGTAATCTACAGGTCTTGGGTTCGAATCCCGCCATGTACCAAAGTGATTTTTGATTATTCGAAATTTCATATGTACATAATTTACCCGATATTCTTACGGTGAAAGAAAACATCGTGATTCACACATATCGGTGAAGAAACTCAAAGATATGTGTAAAGGCACAAAACTCACATTGGGCCATTGTGGTTGACTATAGCTTAGTCACCCCTAAGAGGCTCCGAGCTTCTCTAGTTAGCTGCTAAGGAAGTCATCATACAAAAACATAGCACTTTTACTCCAATAAGCAAATTATACAAGCTATCTAAAAATTAACAGCATGGAATATACTCTATATAGTTTCAATGACAAATTATGTATATAGAATTAGAAGTAACATGATAATACAGCTATTTACAAAACAGAATGAAATTTCACAGTTATAATATAAAAAATCATACTTACAAGAATAACAACACCAAAATTTTTACTCTTAAGTAAATCCGTGTGCATAGTTGATATTTTGTAACTCACTATTACTACTTCTGTCTGAAAAATAAAACAAAATTACATTAAAACAATGTATAAATCTTAATAAAAAAATGTAATAATCAGTTTGTTCTAAACACAGATTAGTATGGAGAAAAAGAAACATACAAGGTTTTACAATTTTTTTTTTATTAGTATCTCTCAGATTTAATTATCACCACATGATTTTTTTTTATAACATAAGGTGGCAAACGAGCAAGCGGCCACCTGAAATAGTCAAAATGGCGAAGCGACCGCTGCCCATAGACATCCGCAATTGCAGATGCGTTGCCTACCCTTATCCGACGGAGGAGGAGACGCACATAAAGAGGATATTTCCCCTTCCATTGCATCTCCTCCACCGTCAAATCCACTTCCTCTTCCCAACCTCTCTTTATAAGAAAAGGGTGGTAAAGAGAAATGGACTTAAATTAGGCCTTTGGCACCACACTCATCAGACGAAACATGGAATTGTTTCCATTTCACGCCTGTCTTCTGTGTGGTCGTGGTATTACACCGGGCGTGCCGGCCCTGCAGTGCTAAGATGTTAAAGCGGGCACTAAAATGATATGATTAATATTAAAACTTGATAAATAAAGTATCTAATAACAACTGTAATATACTAGCTTTCGATGCCGACTCCATCCACATGGAATTAAATAAAAAAATGACTAGCCTATGTGTTCTTCCAGACTATCCTCTACATGTATACCAAATTTCATCGAAATCCATTCAGCCGTTTAGACTACAAACTCTAACATCCATCCAACCATCTAAACTTTCGCAATTATAATATTAGTAAGTATGAATTAACCTGTTTGTCTGCAATAAGTTGTGTGTCCTTCCCACTGCCGAGGGTGACAATGTTCATAAGTGGAACTGAGGGGAGGAGTTCGCAAACTTTGTTTTGCCATGTATCCCTAACCAAATGTGATATTTTAAATTATTTTTCAGCATAAGTAAACACTTTAGAGCGCACAGACCTTTGATTAAACCATCGCACAACTGTTTAGTCTTGCTAAGATTCCTATGTGCTTATATGAGGTGCGCTATACTTGATTTTTATTTATGCAACTAAACAGTTGAAGGCTGCAAAACAATCGACAATCGGACGACTGTTGTGCGATAGTTTAGTCTAAGGTGTGCGCCCGCTCTTAGATATATCAATAGCTACAATCGTTTTAATTAAAATTAACGACTCCTCCTTAGACTCTGACAAAATTAAACACAAAATCTATCTATTAGACAACAGAAACTTAAATAATTTTTTGTAACATAATATAACTATTTTTTTTAATTTAAAAAAAAACATACCTCATAGATGAAGTGGTGACAATTAACAAGGGCCAGTTATGCCTGTAATAGCTTGCTATGGCCAAAGCCTGGAATGTTTTACCAAGACCCATGTCATCAGCTATCATACATCTACCTTTATGAGCTATACCAAACCTATAAAAATATACAAATCTCCTTTTATAAGCAATAAACTATGTTATAACATAATGAACATCAAAGAATATTGAACAAATTTTATTATTATTATTTTTATACTTTTGTCTTCCAGTTTCTTCAAGAATTCAATAATAAAAATAAATAGACATAACAGATGTCTCTCTTTGACACTGTCGCTTTCTAATGACAAAAGATTTTTAAAATTGGTCTAGTAGTTTTTGAGTTCAATAACTACATACAAAACACAAATATGTCCTTTTATAATATTACTACCTTCCACTACAGAATTTAAAAAAAACAAATGTCAGTAGCCTATGTGATTTCCCAACTAACATCTTTTTTTTTTTATATGAGAAGGGGGCAAACGAGCGGCGGGAACACAAAGGTAGTCAACGACGCCCATGGACATCCGCAACACCAGAGGAACTACAGATGCGTTGCGGGCCTTTGAGGAAATTGTAGGCTCGCTTCTTGAAGGACCCTAAGTCGTATTGGTTTGGAAATACCGCCGAGGACAGACCGTTCCACAACGCGGCTGTGCAGGGCAGAAAGTTCCGCGAAAACTGCACGGTTGTGGAATCTACATCTAAGATAAATTTCATAGATATCTGTTCAGCCTTTTAGATCATAAACTCTAACAAATATCCATCCATCCATCTAAATATTCGAATTTATAAAATTAGTAATATAAGAATTAAGATTTTAATTTACCTCACACCGTCTTCTTGAAATGGCATAAGTCTGTTTCTTAAAGTTGCTTCCACGGGTGTAAGATCAATACTGTTTGGATCTGTTACATTCTCTCTTATGACCTGTAATTTTTATAAACATTTATACTTGTGTTGATTTTTAAAAACCTGGACCAACAAATTTCCTAACTGTACTTACTAGTACTACTTATTTTGTACATTTTATTTTTTATTAAAGTTACATAGAGTATTAATAGTATACAGAGAAAGGATGCAAAGTGGATATGGCCCACACTGATGAGTCCACTCAAATGCCAAATCCCTTACCCCTTTCTATCCTTCCCTTGTGGGAATTTACTTTTAAATAAAGCATGTATAGCATATGTTACCTTGAGAACATAAGCTGGTAATGCACCGAGCACTACATGTGGTGCTAAGGGAGCTACTTTGGACATCAGCTGATCATAATCATCTATTGAGAAATTCCATAATTTTGTATTAGCATCTGTAGGACAAAAAACTTTATTATAGGGTTGCCAAAAAAAAGAAAACCAATACAAAATGGTGGTCAAATCAATTTGTATGGATGAAGATTTGCCAAGATATCTCACCAGCTGCATAATTTTGGATGAAGTTTTAATATAGAACACTGCCTGGAAAAACACAAGCTACTTACTGTTTTTTTCTTTAATTTTGCCTAGGTAAACTCAAGTAAGGCTTGGCAACTACTACAAAGATAAAATCTAAGGGGTTGGGGGCCATAACTGATATATACTAAATAGTTTCTATTTTTTTTAATATAATCTACTTACCATAGCATTTAGATGGTAAAGATTTGAATATATTAATAAGCGGAACACAGAATTCCGATGGATTTACTTCAAATCTACCTTCCGATATCAAATATATTGTTCCACTAATAACTTTAGTCACCGGTATATTTTCAGTTTCGTTTATTTCTGGTTTTTTGTATGGATGGTATAGTTTACGACCGGTAATATTTTGGGACGTAAAAGAAGGACTATTCTGAGTTGTATTCGATATAGAAATGTTTCCCAAAGGGCTACTAGGTGAAGATAATTTCAATTGTCTCTTCTGTATTGCCGCCAAACGCTTTCTCTCAATTTCTTCTTTGCTACACGACATTTTTATTTTTTCTCCACTTAGTTTTATTTTTCATTAATTATAAATAACAATGAAATCTCACATTAACATCTTGTCCTGAAATAAAGCTAATAAAACAAACAAAAAGCACATTTAACACATATTTATTTTCAAACTTGTATTGACAACTGACAATAATAATTTCCGGTCAAATAGCGAGTTGACATTGACAATAAAAAAGTAATCGTTTAGAAATGGCTTAATCTCTTGTATAATATTTCTTTCATATTTTAGATTTATTTAAAACTCTTTATTTTTCTACAAATTGGCGAAATAAGCCTTCGAAATTGTTATTGAAACAAGTATCGATAAAATTAAGATAAAAAAGTAATGAATCACGACACTCTAGGGAATCATTTAATAGTTGGCACTTTTCTTTATTTAAATTCAGGGTATGAATGAATACCAAAGATTCTTTACAATAATATACATTTTAATACATTACAACACCAAATCTCAAGCCCATAGCCAAAAGGGATAAGCAGAGACCCCAATTTATTTATTCATTATTTATATTTTGTACACAGTAATAAAAATTGGCTTGTATAAATCACAGCACATCTTAACAAAACTGATTATAACAACAATTAGTAAAATTGTCTTCTAAAGTTGATTTCCATCAACTTGTTTTTGTGTTCATTCCTTGCATTTAAATTCTTTGATTTTGCCTTTTCTTGTTCTTCAACTAAAATTGTTTCAATTGTCTTTTTCTTATGTCCTAATCCAGTCTTGTCTAATTTCTTTGTTGCTTTTACAGGGTATTTTTTACCTGAACCATCGGGACCTAAGCCAGCCTCTTTATCCCAGCCATCTCTCAACATTATTTGATAACCTCTATTTGATTCAGGTATAACATAATTTGTAGGTATTTTTCTTCCTTTGCTTGCATTAATATTGTGCAAAGTTGAGGATAAATGATGTTGTTTATTAGGAAACTTCTTATTGTTACAAATATCACATATGTATTCATCTACATAGTCGATTGGTGCTTCACTTTCTTTGGACTCATCATGAGATTTATGATCAAGAAGTATATCTGCTAAAACATAATTTCTACTCTTGATAACTAAGCTACGAGCAGAATTGCCACCTGAGTCTCTTACAGATATATCTATGCCACGTTTAAGAAGTTCTTTAACAACATCCACAGCATTTGCTTGACATGCTATCATCAGCAAACTCCATCCAAATCCATCACACACGTTTATTTTATCAGGAAATGCATCTAAAATTTGAATAAGCTTATCTATATTATTATTTTGCACGGAAAGAAATAATTCCTTTTCACAATATTGTACTTCATTTGTGCAAACTTTTCTTTTAGTGCTTTTTTTATCTAACCTGTATGTTTCTTTAACTGGCACAGGGTCTTTAACTTGTTTTACTTCCTCTAAATATAGTTTCTTAGCTTCTATTCCACTCAATGTCCTTTGTTCCAATGCTGGTGCAATTTGTGTTGATGAATTTGGTCTGACAAAATGTGTGTACAATCTTCTGTTCATTGTTTTTATTCCTACTACACATATACTTATGTTACATTACTAAATTGTTAAATATAAAATCTTACAAGAAGGATACATTGAACTGTTTTGCTGTTTACTTTGTAAAATTGAGTTTAAGTCGACATGGACAGCGACAGTTGTCAAAGTCAATCACAGGTGACATGTCAATTTCACATAGCATGTAAAACAAAGAGCAAGTAAGGAAACATAAGAATTAAAGTGAAAGGGAAGCAAATAGAAATTCATATGGCAACAATAACTCAATATTTCATCGGTGACGTTTGTTATCTGTCTTGATGTGTGTGTATGTATAAATGTGAAGAAACTAAACTTTGGCCAACTTTGGTAAACGGCTCTTGTGGACTGGACTTTGACATTTTAATTTTAAATTGTTCCAACTGTGCGAGTGACTGACCTTCCTTTCTCTTCTACTAGAGACAAATTAGCGAAAATGTCGGAGAAAAGTAGCCCTGTAAAATATTTTTTGAGCGGTGGTTTTGGTGGTGTTTGTACCGTTTTATCGGGACATCCGATGGACACGATAAAAGTGAGATTACAAACTATGCCTCTTCCTCAACCAGGAGAAACAGTCTTGTATAAGGGCACTTGGGACTGTTTCAAAAAGACGGTGCAACTTGAAGGATTCCGAGGACTCTACAAGGGTATGTCGGCGCCTTTAACAGGAGTCGCACCTATTTTTGCTATCAGTTTTTTCGGTTTTGGTTTAGGTAAAAAGTTGATAAAGTCTGAGGAAGATCAAGTGCTTACAAAGACAGAATTATTTGCTGCAGGTGCTTTCTCTGGTGTGTTCACAACTTCTATTATGGCACCTGGGGAGAGAATAAAGTGTCTACTCCAAATTCAACAAGGTGCAAATGCACCACAAAAGTACAAAGGCATGGTCGACTGTGCCAGACAGTTATACGCAGAGGGTGGCATGAGAAGCATCTACAAAGGAAGTGTTGCTACAATTTTAAGAGATGTGCCAGCTAGTGGTATGTACTTCATGACATACGAGTGGATAAAAGAGGTCCTTGTACCAGAGGATGCAAGTAATAAACTGAAGATGGTGGCTACCATAGTAGCTGGAGGTTGTGCGGGGATAGCTAACTGGCTGGTGGGCATGCCGGCCGATGTACTCAAAAGTAGACTTCAAACAGCCCCAGAGGGTACATATCCAAATGGAATGAGAGATGTCTTCAAACAGTTGATGGAGAGGGAGGGTCCACTGGCTTTATACAAGGGTGTAACTCCAGTCATGATAAGAGCTTTCCCAGCAAATGCTGCATGCTTTGTTGGATTTGAGTTGGCTGTCAAATTCTTGGACTGGGTTGCACCAAACCTTTGATACTATTAATAACAACCATTTAGAGATTTTTAAATATTTAGTTACTTTCTGTAAGTTAAAATATATTTATCTGTTACATAATTGTGTTTACAATTATATGAAACACAGATAATTTAAAACATGACAATGTCTAATGCTTAAAAATGTAAATAAATATCAAAAATACATTAAGTACATAAGTTAAATTCAATTTTCTAAGTTTAACAATGTTATTTACTGTAAATAAATAAAAACTGAAAATCATTTGTTAAATTATTATTTTATTTTTGATATTTGTTATGCAAGATGTACTACCAAATATTATTTTGAATAAATATTGCCAATGATTTTCCATGCGACAGGAAGTTATAGACTTTAGACTATTTGTTCAGTGCCTTGAATAAACAACTATTTTATCCTTATGTCTTTTCTTTAAAATAAAGTTAAACACAATGATCATTTAAACTTACTGTCATAGTATTTAAAATAGTCTCAGCTATATTCCAGGCTGTAATATTTCTTACTTTAATTAAGATCTGTTCCATTGTCACATACATAGTATATGTCAAAATTTCAATCCATAATTATTATTTAAAAGCATTGTACTAAGTAACGATAAGTTTTATCAACATTGAGATTACTGTAATCTTGTACAGAAGATATCAAACCATCAGAACTGAAATGATAAGTTTTGAATAAAGATAACCAATAAGGTAAACTGCCTGTTTTAAAAAGTAAGAAGTATAATAGATATATCTATTGTTTTGATCTTGATAAGGCAAAACAACAGCCATCATCTCAAAAAGAGTGATATCGCTAACAATTTTAGTGATTTAGTAGAAGGCTATAGTAGGTAATCGGACTGTCATGGCCCGAGATACAACGCAGAGCCCAAGACAGAGCGAGCTGGCGGCATACTGGGGACGCCCTCTGCCCCACTTTGGGGACATAGGAATAGAAGAGAGTAGGCTATGGTTTGCACAACATTTGAGATATATTTTGTGTGTTAGATTCAATTTAGAAAACTTTCATTTCATGTTTGTTAGTTCTTTAGCTATACTTTTAAGTGCATCATTTTGTTCTTTCATTAATATAAGCTTCTGTTTTAAATAGTCCTTTTTAAAATTCAAATAATCCTCTTTTATTTCTAATTTTCTCCGTTCCTGTGCAGCTAATAAATCACAGCTTAAGTTACAGCTGCCTGAACTTCTTGAGGAATGTTTAGGAAAGTCTAGATCCACCGAGGAGATTGCAACTTTTTGTTCTGGCAATGATTCAGGTTCACTCATTGCAGCTGATAAATCACTTAAGTTCTCTTCATGCATATCTTCTATTGGAATCTCCGCTACTCTTTTAATGCCTAACGCCTCTTGTTCAGCCTGGGTTAGGAAATTATTAGATGTAGTAACCTCTCCATTACTTTCAGCATGCCTCCTTTTAGTATTGCAACGTAGATCATACCATGTCTAAAAAACAAAAATAAAAGAGGAAAGATTTGAATTTTGTATGTTAAAAAACTCAAACACAGGTGTAGCAATTTAAAAATTCTTTTACCATAAGAAACCTACGTTATTATGACTGAGTAACAGATCTTACTTTATTCCCGCGCGAAAGATGTCGCACGCAAAAGTTTGTAATGAATTTTTCAAGGTATCATTACTAAATGAAAAAGTTTTACGTACTTTTCTCCATTGCCTCCAAGTTTTCTTTGCCCCGGGTATGGCATTGCATTCGTTAGCTATGATTCGCCAAATATTTTGTGTGTCTTTATAATTAAAATTAGATACTTTGCAAGATATCAGCTCAGGGTGTTTTGTGATTGATTCGATAAGTTTTTTCTTTTGACTAGCAGAAACGTAAACACATCTCTGCCTTTCTCTTCGCTCCATTACTTTAAGCAGGTTGTAACTAAGGCAATACTACATATCATACCATAGCAATTACAGCAGAGAATCACTAAATAATACAGAAAACAGAAAGTAAGTAAAAAAATATTACTTTACTGTAATTATAAATAACCATGTAAATAACCAATTGTTTTGACAACCAAAGACTAATATTTGTTGTACTGTTGTAGCAGATAACATTTGCACCCACTTTGTCTATGGTTTACGTCAAAAGTAAAGAACGTATTCCTTTTAAAACAATTAGGGTTCTTAATTATTTTGCTGAAATGGCTAATAAAAGCACACTTTGGAAGATGTACCCATGTTAAAAACATTTAATAAAGATAAGGATTTTATGTAAAAGTTCTCTACTCTTTGTGAGAAGCTGTCTATGGTTTAATTTTAACATACCTGGTGCACATCTAGCCAGTACAGTCAGTAAAGATAGAGACAGTCAACACAAGGTATTGGCGTTGTTAGTTTACATTTTGTACTAACCTTGTAGGTTAGCGGATAGTCAAAATAACCTTGGAGTCGTCATCATCAGCCTTTGTTTGTCCACTGTTGGACATAAGCCTTCCCCAATACCTTCCATTAAAAGGGGCCCTTATGAAAGTATTTGTCAAGATGAATCAACGAGCCTAAATCACAAAATAAACAACGTATGGTTCCTATTCATTGGTTGAGTCGCCACTGAAGGTGGGACTGACGGTTTGCATTACACCAGTTGCGGCGGAATGGCTAGATGGACAAAAAAAAATAGAACGTTCCGCTAGTCGCTCTCACCGGTGCCAGTTAGCGTTCACACTATGTCAGTCGACGAACAGTCCAGTCATTTTAGGCCACGCCTTTTCCGCTGTCCGGCTGTACTGGCTGAGTGTGCACTAGGCATTACACTTCACACATATTTCATAGACTCTCTGCTCCACACACTCTTTGATTGAATCATTCGATTAAAAGTCGTGACGGGATAAGGGTGTGTTTCAAGCTGTTTAGGAAATTAGTGTCGCCACCATTGTAATTCGTTTATAGTGTAATTATGATATGACAAAATACTTACGTTGCATATAAACAGTGAATTTTAGCACTCCACAATGGCAGGCGCTCATCCAAGATTTTCGCGGAAATTGCTTCAGGCCTTGAGTTACCTGTTTTTGATATCTCTTGCAGAATATGTAAGTATCAAAGAACATTTTATTGTTCCGCACTATTAATTATAACGTGAGATTCATGTTCTGAGCTATTCGTCATGTTTTTATTATTCGTTATAGTAGCGATATAAACCGTAGGCTATTTTCTGTTTTACCTACATTTGTCGTGTAAAAATGTGAAAGATTTTTCTAATGACGGAAACAACGCATACTATTGATAAGTAAAACAAATATAAACATCAGTTATTATTTGTAGAAAAGGCGTATATACTTAAATTATATTAATATCTGAACATTATTTCTCCTTAAATAGTTTTGGATTGACAAAGATGTACATTATTGTCCTTTTAGTTACATATTTTGTTTATTATTTATAAGATGTAAAAAGAATGAATCCCATTATTACTAAAATAATATTTGTCAAAATCTGTTCAGTTGTTTGTTTTACAGAGTATAGGAGGTAACAATGGAATTCACATACAAAATTAAGACCAACAAAAAATCTCTTGTCACTAAGGTTAAATACACATCAATTGCTTAATGTTTCGATAATTTGTCCTGTTAAAATCCATTGTATGGAACATTCTCCCCCTATCCTTTAATAGCCGTCAATCAACAAGTCATATGTGACAATTAAAGTTAATTCATACCAATAACGAAATGCGTTCTCAATTGATTATAGAAGTTTGGAGAGTTGCATGGCAATTGACATGTAGACATTCATTTTAATTGGTTTATTAAGACTTTACTAATGAAAATATCTCAATTGAACAAGACTGATATTAAATGTTCCTCTGAATTTACCTTTGTGGTATAGGAGTTTGTTACACAAAGCTTTTGTATACTATTTGATGTTATACGATATTATAAAGAGGGAACATTTGTATTCTCGTATGTATTGAAATAACTCAAAAAGTAAAAAGCAGATTTCAAAAATTCTATCACAATTAAAAAGATATGCTAATATTGAGTAACATAAGCTATATTTTTTCAAGCAGGTGTATTCGTGAGCACCAGCTAATGAATTATAATTTGTTTAGATTTAATAGATTAATTTATGTCCCTTACTCTTTACCACCCCTTTCTTATAAGGAGAGGATGGGAAGGGGAAGTGGATTTGACGGTGGAGGTGATGCATAGGAAGGGGAAATATCCTCTAAATGTGTGTCTCCTCCTCCGTTGGATAAGGGTAGGCAACGCATCTGCAATTGCGGATGTCTATGGGCAGCGGTCGCTTCACCATATTGGAGGATACAGGTGGCCGCTTGCTCGTTTGCCACCTTATGTTATAAAAAAAAATTAAGCAACATCATATAACAAAGCTGTAGTAGGCCATTGTGGTTTACTAAGCGCTAGTTACCCCTAACTTAGAGTAAGCTTCGAACCCCTCAGTAGAGGCATATAGGGGTGATGATCATTTAATGATTTACTTGTCTGATTGAATTCTACAATTTCTCTGCTCTATGTACATTTTGTACACTCTATGTGTATATGTACTCTATACACTTTGTTTTTTGTTGTCTGCTGATGCTAGGCTGTGTTCACGGCCGCGACCTTTTTAGGTTTTCACCGTGAATGTTGCGGCGAAGTATAAATCGATAGCTTTAACTTGTAAGTGTTGAGCACGCGACGTAATTTATACTATTATTTTCTTTATTGGCTAGTGTTAGCGATAGAAAGTGCTTTGTGAACGTAGTTGGGTTTAAACTCTGTTTTTATTGGAAGTCTTTGTCTATGGAGTTTAAGTATTACCATATCAAAATTCTTATGAATATTATATCTTTATAGATTATATGATTTTCTTTTTGTTAGTGATGATATAGAACAAACTCTGGTAATCCTTGTATCAAAGTGCTGGCCCCGTTTGTATAAAGTCGACCTCTTCCGTGATGGTAAGAGGAAAGGCCGCATTTTTTAGTTAAGCAATGTCATGTTTATGACCATATCTGAGAAATTATGATCAACTTGTTGATAAATAGCTAACAAGTTAGTAGGAGAAATAATTCACGTGTTTCTATACGATTATTGTTAAGAAATTATTTTTCGTTTGTCTAGTTTTCTAACGGCCATTGTTAAGATGCACATTACTTCCATATTTAAAAGATTACAAATCTGGTTTTTTTTTCGAAAGACCAATATGAAAAGCAAATGTAAAATTCTCTAATCTGCAGTTTTGTACACTGAGCGAAGTTTGACTGAAACCAAGTCAAGGCTATAACGGCTTCTTTTAAATTTGACTAATTTCGTGTTTATGTGAACGCATTAATTTTGACGTGTAACTAATTTTTTCTTAATATAGGTTAAGGTTTTAAGGTGAAGGTTTTATAATTACAGTGTTTAGTCACATTTTCTTATTAATGAGAATTTTGCCTAACCTATGGTCCAAATTTCCTCATTTGAATGTCGGAGCATTTTTACAAAAATGCATTGTCATATAATTCCAAGGAAATAGAGATAGCTTCGGTAGTAACGCCTCTTTTGATATCTCAACTTATTATATTTGCAAATATACGCGTGGTATAAGAAATATGTATCACTAATTAATAAATTACACTTTCAATAGAAGTACTTGATTTATGAACCTTCTAATTAATTTATAAAGCGCTCGCTAACAGTGTAAATCATGGAAGCCATAGAAATTTTAATATCATTCGAATCAAAACCAATAAAGAGCGTGTCAAGGGCTCATAGCCTTGGTCAGTTACGTTAATTATGTAAGTTTACGATAACTTTGATTTGATATTAAGCATAGATCATAGATCATTCCTATGGGCGTCACAGCCAAGTTATGCTTTAATAAAATATAGTCTTCATTACCTCCTATGTTTTCTTCCAATTTGAGCAGAATAACCTTACCAATATGGCGGTCGTGTCGTCGAGCTAATGCAACATCCTTATTTTTGACATCCGATTACTATCCAATTATTAACATAACAAGCACAATTACGACATTTTAAAACCATGACATAAATATTTTAAATAATGTTTTGGATCACAATTACAAAGCTTATATCGTTATTTCAAAATATGACTCATAGTATTGATTTATAGCACAGACGAATAACCTTTAAGAATACAGAATACATCAAAATAGTTAAAAAGCTAACATTCAGTATGAGAATGAGAAAAGACGATGTAAAGCGCCTTGAGGGCGAAATTTCATAAGTGCAAACGATTTACTCTTCACGCACTGCATAGTGTCCGCATGCAAGAACCATTTTAGGTAGTTCTAACCCTTCCTTAACCCGTATTACAACTACTACTAAACTGAGTCCGCACGATAGTTTTAGAACGACAAATGATTTACATTAGTCTTTAGCCCGCATTGAGGACTCTACCTGTTCTGTATACAATCAATTGACTGATGAAACTGTCCCTTAAGAGCTACAGAGTATCTAAAACTGGTATATTAAATGTTTCCTTTAGTCATACATATTTATTACTATCTTGGGCTTAGTTTAGATAGCGTTTGTAGTCTACACGGCTGAACGATTTCGATGAAATTTGGTATAGATGTAGAGAATAGTCTGGAAGAACATATAGGCTACTCACATTTTATTTTAAGCTAGTAGTAATAAAGTTTTGCCAATTTCTTATACAAAAATACTGGTACAAATCGTATTGTGTGGGTGGTTCCTAATCATATCGTGGCATACAAATGTTTAGCTTAGTGACGCTAATGTTCACCTTAGTCCCCCACTAGACGTTGTGTCTACAGCCTTACAAGGGAGACGGTAATTGAAAATCGATATCGTTTGGAATGTCCTGAATGGAGACAGTTATATCCTTGTTTAGTAGGAATTGTAGTAGGTAGGTATCCGTTAATAATATGATATCTATACTAATATAATAAAGTGTAAACACACACTTCTTTGTTGCCTAAGATGTCAGCAATTACAGCGTATTTTTGAATAATTCTTTTTTTTTAAAAAAAGCCCTACTCCTACGTCACGCTTTAGGCTATATTTTTTCACGCCATTAAACTTAGGGGCTAAATATTTTGGACAAAAACCCAAATGTGAAAAAGAGATATATAAGTTAGTTGTTATAAGTTGCTGCCAACATCGAGGAAGCAAGATTGTCATAGTAAGTTAATTGGTATTTTGACATTTGCAATTGAGAATTTGACAAATGCAAACAATACAATTATTAATTTCATGCGGATGAAGCCGCACGCGAACATCTAGTAGTAAATAAGTTTAACATTACCTGGTATATGTTGAAGATAGGTGTGGCAAAACGGAAATTTATTGTAGACTTTCGAAGTGATTGTACATTTAGAAGGGTGTGTTTGTTGACGGTTATTCATAGTTCAGGTATACAGCTTTGCTGTCTATATGTTAGGACAGTAATGTTTTTTACACATATGTAAATATGTGTAGTTTTATCTATTCATTTTTACCGCCGGTGAATTGAACGACTCGACCTATTTTGTAGTGTGTGGGATAATCTGTTAGGCGTTAATTGTTTTTATTAAGATCTTACTGATTTATAAATGCCAGAGTTTGAGATGTATCAGAATTTGTTACTACGTATAACGTCTTAATTCCGATGAAATTCGGCACGGATGTAGAACAAATTTTAGGAGGACACAAAGCCTACTTACTAATTTTAACTTTTAATTCCACGCGGACGAACTCGCGGGCAAAATTTATTAAGTGTTTGTGTCCCCAACGAGAAAATTAGACTTAACATCTAAGTTTGTAACAGTTTAGTAGTAACTTCAAATAACATAGTCATAGTAACGCAGTTCAAGGTCCGCGCCGCGTCACCTCGAATGCACACCGCATTACAATGTTGTGATACTCGTTTCTTCCTTGTAAACACTGACCTCAACATGCTAACATACAACTATTAATATAATAATACTATATATTCCCGCGCTTCATCCTAAGATTCCGAATTTGACGCAGGACATTTTTTTCAAATTATTCACCCCCTAAATTAAATAGCGTGAATTTATATAGGCCATAGCGTGATGTAAGTGTAAGGTATTTTGTTTAAAAAATAATTATTAGAAAATA